CGTAGTATAAATGAAGCTGCGTGAATTATTCTAACCCACTGTCCAATACTTACGAGTTGATTTTAGATATCGTATTTGTTTAGGAATATCAGTGACAACTTACTATCAGTTGCTGATGTGAAGGTAATTCTCAAAGGATTAACACGGCTTCACAAACTGTAAGTGTCACCTTTTTAGATGATTTAAAAATCACAAAAAACTATTTTCGGATGCTTTAAGCAGATGATCGTTGGAGATATTCGCTAAATACTCGTTCATCACAGTTCACATCAATAGTTCATCACAGTTTATATGAATTAAAATTTCGCACCTAATATCGGCCTATATGGAATCAAAGATAATTAAAACTTGTTTAAAACGATTTTCTTTTACAGATACCTTGATGGAAATCCGCTTGGACCATCTCTGCCAGCAGACATCTTCGCTGGGTTTGAAAATTTGACACATCTGTAAGTCCAGTGGCTCCTCAAATCACCGACTAGTAAAAAGTATCATAATGAACGTTTGTCTCACGATTTAATGACATTCAAAGTAAATCCTAGTTCATCTGTGCATAGTTAGTTTAATTCAGACGCCGAAGTTGATTGTTACCTCCTGAAGCATTCTACTCTGCTATAATTCGCTGTGTTACACTGTGATGTGGCAATTCTGCTGTTTTGTTTCTTGATCGTTGCCTACTTTTCTTCTGGAATTTCTGCTGAGTGCAGTCTTATCTGGATCGCCCCTTATACTGTGTGTTTTTAAAATCGGACTCTGAGTTAAGGACTTTTTTTTCCTTATCAAATGAATGGTTTTTGCTGACGAGCAGGTGCTCCGTGGGACGTTGAAAGTTTGTGCGAGTTGAGTGTCGGCGTCAATAACAGCTGTCGAAAAGGAGTATTCGTAGAAACGTTGCATCCACATCCAAAATTACCATACCGTTAAATTTCTGTATTTATAAACACAATTAATCACTACATAACCACCCCTCTTTGCCATATAAGTTCTGAATAAGAATAATCGTTTTCACTGAAAACTCTGTGCATTTGTTAGGTATTACCTGCATTCATCTCTGAGAAACAAGCTTGATTTTAAGCTTAACAGGTTAGGAACAGATAGTTTTGGCCCGACAGAGAAGCATATTGAAAATTGTAAAGGAATGTTCCGCTCTGTCCAATTATGGTTATTCCCATATTTTTTAGAGTGCATTCTTCAATTAGCCAAACCACCCAAAAAGTATTTGAATAACAGTCTTTATTAAACTTCTCTGCCACACTGACTTTTAAAAAAAAGTCAAAAAAAAGTAATATTAAACTTGTGTTTGAACCTGTAATGTTTTAAACCTTTTCGCTTTCGGCTATTCTTGTTTCGTGATTGTCCTCTTGCTGGATATACGCGAAGTCTTTTTCTGATATTTTCTCTTAATTAATTTGGTAACATCTGGTGTAACTGCATATAATGTGGATGTCTTCAAGAAAACTTGAGACAATACCTGGATTTCATTTCCACATCACAAAATCAATTCCAAACAGCAATCAAGTTTTCTTTTTAATTTAAAGTTGAGTTGATGTTGTTTTTTGCTATATTAAATAGGTTCAAGAGTTTTAGATGGTGCCCCTTCGTGTTTGCCACTAGTTGAATTACTGGAAGATGGAGTTGTTGCAACATGTTAACACGTAATGCAACAAATAAATTTTGTTGATACATAAAAAAGTTTTTATTTGACTATCTACAAGCAAGTTTTTGTGTTATATTTGAACCCGACCATTTCCACAACTTGTAAACACCAAGAGGCGGATTGTTATGATCAGTTTTCTACTGGTCGCCATTACTGACGAATCGGCAGATTTACACACCGAACGAGAAGACTTGATATAACTGAGTTTTCGATATAAACTAAGTTTACAGTTTAGCTCATTTTACTGTCTTCTGTTCATTCGTTTGTTTGCTTTCCGAACAACATTAACCATTGATTGCCAACAAATGCGAGGAACATATAAAATGTGTACAGTTATTAACTCTTTAATCCTTGAGAGTGACCAGCATCTAAATTCTCTTTTCAAGCATTGAGGTTATGAGAATAAAGGAAATTCTCCTTGCCAGGACATCAGGAAATGTATAAAGGACAGTATAGAGAATATGCTACGCTGCGTGCGCTGCGAGCTCCGCTACATTTCCATCTATCTTTTAGCAGTTACTGATACACTTTCTATCTACTGATCTATTGATTGGTTTATTCCACTATTTATTTTTCTACCTCTCTGGTGACAGTCCGAACTAAAACGACAATAGAAAATAAAACGAGTGAGACAACTGAACGTCATAAACATAGCCTGTACTGCCTGGGTGTGGCCACCATATGGGTATTTTTTATCATTTTATTGAACCAAAATTTATATCACCACAGGAGAGTATATTTTCTTGATCAGCATCAGCAATTTGACTTTACTTGCTTTGACTCTTATGTTCGTCTCAGAAAGTTACAACGCAATCTAATCACAGATTTATCAAGAATTGTCACATCTGGAATTGAAGAGGTGTATACCCTGTAAGTACTTGATTCTTCAACTGAATGTTTCATTTTGGGTTATTTGGCAAGAAACCAGATGATTTTCTTCTGGAAGCCTTGGGTTATATTCAAGTGTGCTTCAGCTCTACTAAGGTCTGAAAATGCTATGTTTATTTTGTAGATTGTTGGACAACAATAAGATCGATCACCTTCCACCGAACATATTTCAGAATACTAAAGTAACCGTGAGCCTGTGAGTAACAGAAACTACAACTGTTACCGAAGTCATGCGTAATTGTTTTCATCATTTACTTAGAAATATCCACATGCTTAAGGCACTAGACATGAGCAGGAAAATACATATTAGAGAACAAAAAATTCCAAACAAACTCACGATAAAGAAAAATATTTACCTAAACGGTGTATGGCTTTACGGGCAAAAAACGAAAATAACGACGCTGCTCCTTAAAAAGTGGACATAACTAAACTTCACGGGACTAAAATATGAAAAAACTGACAAATTACTTGACATAATTATATAACATTACACAACAGTAAAAACCCCAATCACAAGTACACAATAAAGCAAAGGAAACCCACAAACATTCACAGATAATTAAAACGTGAACGTAATACACACAACAAAAAGTATGACAATTAGTTTCGCGATAACAACAACCATGATGGAGTTGTTATTCTGTGACTCTTTTTGATTAGTGTTACAAAAAAGGAAGAAGCACTTAATGTACAAAAAATATGGGTTTGATCTTTGATTCATTTACTGTAATTTAGAATGGTTCCTACTTTAATCCTTTGATTCCTAACTGTGACCAGCAAATAATTCCTCTCAACGATATCAGCCCAAAATCAAACATTAAGGCCATGAGAATAGAGGAAATGATCACTAACTGATGGAGTTCTTAACTGTTAAACAAGTTCTCCACGTCAGCACCTCAGGAAATATCTAGAGAACAGTATAATGTCAGGGTATAAAGACTAAAAAAAGGCCCCTTGGGCCTTGAGCGTCTATTTTCTTTTCGATAACTTCATTTTTCTCGTCTTTCCACAGTGATTTGTCGTTCAACAAGCTGCAGTCATTACCTGACAACGTGTTTTGTAGACTCAATAAATTAAACATTCTGTAAGTAAAATATGAAAACCAAAGTAGAAAGTAATCAGCTCACTTGTCCCAAATGGAACAATACAATCAATAATTAGTCAGGTCGAGATAGCCGCCTCTCAAAAAAAGAAACAAACACATGCTAGTAGAGTGGTATGTTGCTCGCACCAATCAGATTGCCACATTAAGGTATGTATCTCGTACCAATTACATCACAGCATTTGCATATCTTGAACCTTGAAGGATATCTTGGACCAGTGACATCGTTTGGAAATTGTTTTCTTGCAAATGATCTCATGGAATTAGGGGGCTGTACACAAAGAATGGAAAAAAAAAACTGTAATTTTTGGGCTCAATTATAAGTTTAATGGTTTGTGGCCTTCGCGAGAGCCTCGTCGAGTAAGGTCTAGATTTATCTAATTATTTGCATCATTTGTGTCATTTTTAAGTTAAAACGAGTTATTGCGCTCCTTCACTCACAACTCACACGCCCCTTAAACAACTTATTACACCAAGTACCATAAAAACAAAGTACATTAGAACATACCTAATCACTGCACTATATGAACAAAAGGCAATTTTTCACGTGCTTGAATTGTATTCCACCAATCAAATTCCACTTTGCCAAATTGAACTTCGCCCTATCACTTGTCATTTCCTTGTAAACAACCTGCATTTAATCATGTATTCGAACAGCATTCTCCAACCCCACTGAAAAAAAAAAATCACGTGGAATCAAACTCTACTGATAGCAAATTTTTCTCGTTATTCTCTTACGTTTTGAATATTTGGCACCGAGGCATTTTATTTTTGCTAAGATGTATTTAGACAATAGAGACAATAGACCACAAAATAC